GAATTGAAAAATTGAATTGAATTGGTTCTTAACTGAACTTGAAATTGATTTTATGATTTCCCAAGTAAAATACAGTAAAAAACATCAGGTGTGGTTTATACAGGTGCAGTTGACACGCCAGAAACTATTGCCTCTGGAGACAGCATGCCACCTTCTCACATGCCAACAGAAATATCTTCCACCAGAACGAACTGGGCACATGTTCAGTGTTCATTATTTTGAATGTGAATGCACTGAGATTTGAAGATGACTCACCAAAACAGAAGTGGCTTGTGATATTTGAGGGACCTGAATTTGAATGAAGGATTGTTATTCTAACAGGAGACCGTAGACCAGTGCCTCTTCCTCTCCCCTTAGATTTGACAGAATCTGAAATAAAGCAGAATCGGATGGTGTGTACTTTAATGAGCCACAGCATTGGAATACAGTTTGGCTGCCTATCCCTTGGTACCACACCAATGCATATTCTTAAAATTAGCCATGAACTTGGCCTGTAACTGTCAGTTTGATGCTAAAATCTTCCCTCTGCACATTTTAATAGGACTGACCCTCCTGTCTATCTGCCTGTATCTTCCTCCCCGTGTTTCTCATGCCATACATTGCCATGCCAGACTAAATTTACACTTCACAAGAGGTACTGTATGTCTCCTTTAGGGGACCTCGTTCCATTTATTTTCTCACAGTGCTGTTGAACAGGAATGCAGATTGAGGGATTGCGCATGCTGCTGTCTATATATAAAGCAGAATGCATGCCGCTCCAACAGCACCAGCTGTTAGTATACTCTTTCTCTTCCTCTTCCTCTTCCTCTTCAGTCAGCTGGGCCCAGTGATATCAGTTTATTCTTTACAGGTGTTTACCTAAACACTTTGAAATGGAAATTTATTTAGCGGTTGAATCATATATTCTGTCAATTTTATCTTCTTTAATGACTGTTTCAAAAACAATTTATATGGACAAATACTAAATCTCTTGACTCTGTTGTATTTTAAAGCGGAGCTCCACCCAGTTTGCTTATTAAATTCAGTTTACTCGTGACAGGAAATACTACTCAGCCTGTGGAAACGGTTGTATAATTTCTTCTGTGGTTCTGCAGAAATGTTTTATAGTTGATTAATGATGGCATCACTATGACGTCATCAGGGTAATCTCGGTTTGGATATGAGACGTTTTACAGAAAGTCTGCGTTATAAACTGGTGGCGTGGGGTTTAAAAGAAGTCAAGACAAGGCATTCAGGAGGCAATGGGGTTCTGATAAAATATGCTATCAAGTTGCATCATGGTAAAAGTAGGATCCAGTGTTTTTGGAGCTTGACCCATAATAGCGACTAAAAGTCAGGATGTCTCAACCTCTGCTACTTTGATTTTGTCCATTCTTTTTTCTGTCTTTTGTGAGTCTCCCAACTTTATGAAGTCCTCCCTGGAATTGAAGATGAATTAATTTAAAGATATTATATAAGAAGCCAGTCATATGTAATGGTTTTGTCTGTACTTGCAAAAAGTAAACTCCTCCTTATGCCAGTGAAACCTCTTGGATTCCCTCAACAATACTGAGGACATGACCTTATTATTCGTCAAGTATTGTCAGAAAGAGAGGTTTTGAGGTAAAAGATGTCTGACTGTCTCGTCCAGTATGTATTTTTTCTCTGAATAAAACAGAAGATTTTAGGGAATTAGGGAACAATATGATGATTCATTGCCTTCTGATGTTACAAAGTGCATAATAACAGATGGAGTGGTGTATAAAGGGTTTACAGCACAGTGCCTTCTTCCCCTTGTTGCATCGGTTTGTGGAATAATTACCCACAAAACTGTTCTCCAAACCTAATCTCAAGCAAGCTGAAAATTTCATTGACGTATCCCTGCAACTCTGTCTCTCAGTCAGACACATACACACACAAAGTCAATTTACCACTGCCTGCCTCTGTACTATCTATCACTCAGACGCGGCATGTGTGCTGAGGCGTGACAACACTCATTCGGTCTTTCTTTTTTTGACAAAACCCCAAGAGATTTATTAAAAATACCACAGTGAACAAATCTGTTTTTTTTTTCCTTTTTGCCACGCAGCAACAAGCGGATCTTGGTGAAGCGTTCACAACAATCCATTGCTTCCAGTGATTAGGGCCCAGAGGTGTGTATACATGTTTGTGTGTTTGTGTGTACTTGACAACATAAGAACAAGAGAACAGGATTGATAAAATGCCGGAGAGAGCGAAGTAGCTTTGTTGAGTGAGAGAAGATGTGCATATTTAATATCACAGACAGACAGAAAATCTTTCCCAAGTGTGCATGCACCTCCCTCCTGCAGTCTGAGACAAGGATGAGTGACAAGAATGAGTCCGAGACAAGACTGAATCCAGAGGAAATGACAGCACAGAAGTGAAGGCATCCAGTGTAATGTCAGCTATCAATTTTATGTAAAACCTCAAAACTAATAAAGGATTTCCCACAGCACATCACAAAATCTCACAGACAAATCAGGATGAAAATCCCAAAAGAATATGTGGAGAACGAAAGCTGTACAATGTGGAAATATGGAAACTGTATTAGATTATTAGGTATTAGAGTGAGAATGAAATTACCCAATTAGATGAGGGTGTCGAGATAAACAGAAGGTTGAAGGGGACAAACTGTAGCCAGGAGGATATTTGTTGCTTTCTTTTGTTGGTTCACTGGTGTCCACCAACATGGCGACAGAGTACTAAAAGGTTACCAGGCTGGTTGTCTCTGTACTTTGCCCTTCTAGAGGAAATTAAGCTGAAAGGGGGATGTGTTTATCAACTGGAAAAAAAGAATAAAATTTGCTTCACTTTTTTCTTTTAAGAATCTATTTATTCGTGTTTCCCAAAAATATCCCAAAAGGGTCTCAATGCCCACCATAGACCTAAAACCAATATACAAACAGAGAAGATTGCACTTACACTGGTGTAATATTCCCAATAATGACAAAAAGTTACTTTATTAGCGTATCTTAGGATCACAGAAATGGTTAAATCCCAAAAATTGTTAAAAGTAAAACCCCAGGTTTTGATTCTACTTTGGGATTACTGTGAGTTGTATACAGTAGCTTCCTACAGGATGCTAGGCTAGTGGGGCAGGCATAGATTCAAGTCCTCTGGGACCAAGGATTTAGCCCTCAATAACGTTCCACACAACATTTGGCAAAACCAGAGCCAAGAGCTACGGGGGCAAGCTGACATCAGCAACATGCGCCATCAGAGATTAGTCACGACAGCGAGCCAGCAGTCCCTTGTCCCTCCATGTCCCCCTGGCTAGAGATTCAGGAAGGGACGGTTATGATGGACACCTGTCACAGCTCATCTCTGTCAGAAGAGTTCACACGCTGTAGGCTGTGTGTGTGTGTGTGTGTGTGTGTGTGTATGTGGAAACACAGCTATGTTTAAGACAGAGTCCTGCAGGGAGTGAGAAGTAAAATGAGTGCCCAGCATGGAACAGCTGCTAAATGGGGCTCTGCAGAGGAGCAGGAAGTACACAGGCCTCAGTGAGCTACAGATTGCTTTGTGGTAACACTGTCTGTCAGTTTCAGTGGTAGCTTTCTCTGGGATCTAAACACGTTCTGCTCATGGTATATCTTACTTACTATTGGTGAATTATTAATCAGGATAAGAGTGCAGAGCGCTGCTTCCAGACATCATTAGAAATCATGCAGGATTTATCAAAGGTTGAAAATACTTTTAAAAAGAAACAAACCCACACACACAATATATATAAAAATGTTAGTTCAACAACACGTTATTTATAGCGTTTAAAAAAACAGTGTACATAAATCCACTGTTCATCTGCTCTTTCTGTATGTACATATTATTCACTTGTATTTACTTTCTAATTTACAAAAATTGTCACAATCTCTAAAATAGCAAATCTCTAAGACACACAGTGACGTTCTCTGTGGTCTCAGACAGATTTGGATGCAAGAGCAGCCAACTGGTGTTGGATTTGCTGCTGAGCACCAAGACAGTCTTGCCTTACGTATGCTGTGGTACAGTGGCTTCCCGAGGACTTAATATATTACATCCATAGCACTCACAGATGTGACAGGGGAATACATTGATCCTGGATTAGAGAGATGAGATTCACTGAGGTGACCAAAGCAGAGAGGAGTGAAGGATGGAGAGGAGGAGGAGGGTGTGAGAGAGAAATGGAGGGAGGGAGGGTGAAGACAGAGTTAGACAAGAGAATGAGAGAGAGAAATCTTAATCAACAGAAAAGGAGACTGGAAAGAATAAATTGTGGCAACCACATGTCTTTTTCTGTTTTATTCCTGTGGAACAAGAGGATAGAAGTGCTGACAGAGCATGTTCTCCTCCTTTACCCCCAGTGTGTGCAGGGATAGTGGGGTATAAATTCACACTGTCTAGGAACAAAGTGATCTGGTCAAGAATTTATGACAATCTGTTGGATTATGTACTCAGAGTAAGACATAAAAATGAAGAGAGAAGAGGTGATAAAAAGGATAGGAGCAAAAGAGGGAGGTAAATACAAGACATATTATAAACTAAACCTTTAATGTATTGACTTTTGCTGCATACAAACAGAAGACCCCACTGAAGATAATTTGAGAAGTACATTTAAAGGTGATTTTACACAGTTGTGCATTGTACTTAGAGGATGGAGTTGCACACCACCCTAACAGTAAGAGTAATCTTATTTATGTGATGACAAGTAGAAGAAAACAATGCGCTAAACCAGTGTTTCCCAACCTTACTGCAGGGACCCTTTCCTATCATTGAGTAAACTGATGATCCCTGATTAAGTGGCGTTGGGCAACTTCCAGTGAGGGTTCCTGACCCCCAGGTTAGGCACTAACCCAAAGACAGACGGAACTGTATTGTATATGGAATATTGTTGGACCTTTTTTATTTTATGATGCATATGTTTGTATTGTTATCTCCAAACCTGTATTAATTGATTTGGCTACTTAAGGGCAGCACAACAATCTCAGAACACAACATTGTCATATTATTACATTTTTATTACATTAACAGTTGCTTATTTACACGTCCAGACCACATGAAACAACATGATCACACATGTGGACTGATGTTTCAGGAGACCTGGCGAACATTCACTCTCTTTTATCTCTGTTTTTGGTCTCCACCAACTCCAGAGAGAAATATCTCTCTTTAGCTGTTAAATGTCCACCAGCTAGTGGCTAACTTTGTCTGACTGTTGTTAGAGCAGTATGGTTTGATCAGAGCTTTTTCACTAAAACAGCTGTCCATGTTGCAGCCGAAAAGGACGCCATGAGAGAGGTGAGAGTGAATCAAAACTGTAAAGTTGTGGGCTATTAAACTAAAACCACATGAGAGTGCAGAGTGTAATTCTCTGTGGGTTTGTCATCTTTGTCATACACAAATTTTTATTTATATCAGCTTTAAATCTATGTCTAATTATGTACCAGTATCTGTGTTTGGAGACTTGCATTCAAAAATAAGTTTATTTTGGTGTAGCATTACATCTCATCGTCTTAATATCTACAAAAAACATGCAACCAAATACCACACAGGTCATTTGGAACTGCCAGTGTAAATATAGTACATTTTAAATGTTAAAAATGTTGGTTTTTTTACATTTGACCTGTACCTATCTTCTGTGACATTCTTTGGTCACAGTGACATATTCAAGTTGTGCAACTCTGTTTGTGTGTTTTGAAACGTGGTATCTCAAACTGCAGGTCATATTAACAGTGAACTTGAAATGGCCTGTACTTTTTCATAAAGAGGTTTTAAAGACACTATCCTCGTATAAATGCTGTCTCATGGCTTCAATATGAGTGCAGAAGGCTTGTGTTTATTTTTGGTAGCCTGGGTAATGTCCGTCGATCCCTGGTGTAGGGTTTGCAGATGACAGAGATGCCAAGGATGCCAATGCCAGATTTACTATTTATATTTCAAGACTTTTATATATTATTTGAAACGAAATACAAGCAGCAAGTAAGTGTGTGTGTGTGTGTGTTATGCCGCAGGTCAAGAATAGAAGGAGTGTCTTGGTTTATGAGGATTTGGCTGGTTTATAGACTCTGGCTGCTTCGATGAGGCTGGCTGTTCTCCCAAAATCTTTCAGACTGCAAGAGGGGTGAGTTAAAGAGATGGGGTGTCACCTCTGTGGGGTGTGGTAGAAGGGTTGTAGTGGTAACATTCCTTGTTCACATTCCACAGTGCTTTCACATTCGGGGTGTCTGGGAGCCTCAACAGTAGACCATGTGCAGCACCCGTGGTATCCTGGGACTGACTCCTCTCTCCCTCTCAATATTTTTTGTCTTTAAGTATCAAAAAAATGCACAAACACAATAAACAGTGAAGCAGATAAATAACTTAAACCTGTTAAGCCAGTAATGTGAAAGGTGCTTCCATATGCTGCTACACTCGTGATCTAGTATGTGAGGAGACCAATCGCATCCTCTGAGAGTAGATCAGGTCAGCCACATACAGTCCAAAGTTGACAAAGGAGAACACAGCCACCACAACCTTGCTGTCCCACGGACAGTTGCCCTGAGGGCATGACGACGGTCTCCATGGAGATCCATATTTATTGTCAAAGCAGAAAACCGGCCACACCACTGATGCACTCAGGTAGAGCAGAACTTCCAGGAGGGTGCAGACCACCACGAAGCGGTCAAAGGACATGCAGCGCACGGCCTTGGTCCGCCCGCACACAGTCATTACGACCACGAGAGCAGTCAGAGTGAAGCAGAAAGCGTAGACGACAACGCAGTAGATTGTGGCGACATAACGGGAATACTCGCTCCTGTTGGCCAAAGCTCCAAAGATGATGCAGGCCACAAAGCCCTGAACGACTTTGAGGAGGCCGGACACGGTGGCCATGTAGCCCACCACAGTCTGGCCTGGCCTGGCTCGGCACAAGGCCACTTCAGCACCATAGGCCAGAGTACCCAGGATGGAGCAGACGGTCACAGCAATGCGGAAATTTCGGACATCACAGCCAGCGTAGGGGCACTCGGATCGGACAAAGAAGAGCGGGTAGACCACAGAGGCTGTCACATACCTGCAGGAGAAGAAGAGGCAGTGAGAGCGGTGAGAGTGAACCAAAACAAAACCAAGAAGGAACTGCTGATGGGAACGGCAAAGACCCCCTTCCTCTTACACTTATCATTTGATCCATTGTTAATTTAAAAATATGAATTATATAGCAGCTCAGTGAACAAACAATACTTTCACTTCCACAAAAGGTCCAGTGTACAGGATTTAGTGGCATCTAGCGGTGAAATTTCAGATTGCAACTAACTGAACACCGCTGGTGTCTGTATTTGAATGAATGGGCTGTGAAGTGTGTAGGAAGAAGTGGAAGTGGCAGAGAAAATCGCAAAAAAAGGTCTGTGTCTGATAATTAATGAGTCAGTGAAGTAAAGTAAAAGTGTTTGACCTCGTTACACCTAAATCTGTGACTTACATGAGCGTCGCAAAGGCAGCACATGTGACAGTGAGGTTGTCCCAGGATACGGGTAGGCAGCTGTAGAGACGAGTAGCATCCAGGAAGAACACCACGACCGACATGGCGAAGCAGAAGCACCATGCCGCCATACAGAACACACCATGTGAACCGCTGTAGCCGGCACTGTGGGTTACCATGGCAATCACAGCACAGCCCATAGCCAATTGACAGAGGCGGGCAGCGCCCAGAGGCGAGCAGAGGGCCCTCTTGTTGAGGTAAGGACCCCCCTGTGAATCCATAACTGGGAAATAAAGTCTACAGTGAGATCTTTAAGACGTAAAGCCTTCAGGCCCCCAAAGCGATTCTGAAGGTCCACTGGTTTCACAGGAGAGGATGATGTGGAGTTTAAAGTCTAAACGGCTTAAAGTTTTAGCTCAAGTTCAAGCCAGTCCCAACAAAAAACTAAACCGAGGAGTGTCCTCGTGCAAAAGATGTGATTGTGACACCCACAGTCCAGCTTGGAGTCTTTGTCTTGAAGATATCTATGAAAGAAAAGCAAAAAAGCTTGAAACAGTCATTTTCATTGAATTTACATTTAAAGAAATCATTCAGCTTCAATCTTAGCGCTGTGTACTCTTACCTCACCTCTCTCATAAAGCAGTCTTTATGTCGGTCCACCACACTGTTATGTCGCTGGAAAGCTTCTTCAATGATAAACTAATGTCTCTGCTTTCCTACTCAAACAATCTTGAAACTTGCAGAGACCTTGATAAACATGTGGCAGGATATCCGGGTGCTCAGGAGTTTTAAGGTGTCTATTGTAACCTGGTGTTGGGTGGATGGGCTCCGGGTTTTGGATGCATTATTTCTGCCGCCACCCCCAGACTTGGTGGGGACTTTCTGAATTCTATTTCTGTGTTGATGAATCATAGCATTGCACAGACATAAAGTGTAACAAACACGGGGGAAATCTCTCAAACTGTCCAGACTGGTACATACACTCACCTTTCTGCTGAGAGATCACACTGACTCATCAATCACAAATATCCACACTCAGCACTGCGCAGCCGGCAAAGCAGGAAAGATGGGTCCCGCTCCACTGTAGTTGTGTTTTGATGTTAGTTAATCCCTCTATTTTGAGAACTTGTAGATCCCGTAAGTCCAGGATGTTTAACCAGCAGTTGCCAGTTGATTCGAGTCTTCTGGGAAACAGCTCCTTCAGAACCGCAACAGGATCTGGTCCAATCCAACCCTTTAGCTGAAATGGTCCAATCCAGACTTGGAATCTCCTTCTCGGATCAGTTATCCCGATATGTTTTGTACGTTATCTGTTGCTGTGCATGCTCATTGTGTGAATCCATGTGGCCATGTGAGACACCATTAGCTCTCCTCAAATGTCAATTCTCATCTTCTTATGTTCTCTCTGTCACACACGCTTCCTCTAAAACTTTCTCCTTCCTCACTGTCCCTCTCTGCTCTGTGGGGAGGGGGTTGCTGCAGGTCAGTCAGACCAGAATGGAAGTTATTTTGGGTTGGGCCATCACCACATGAGTGTCGGAGGGATGTGTACATGTGGTGGGTGTGGAGTCGGGGCATGCAGACACATTACAGACGCTGTGGAATGAGATGCGATAACTGACCCGATGAGGTCAAGCCATGTACAGATCAGGGCCAATAATGACGTTGAATCTGAATTCTAATCGAGTGTAAAAGTGACCAGAGAGATGTTACATCTGTATCAAAAGCTATTTATTTTCATCACACTGATTGGAAAAACAATGCAATCTATTAACTTTGGCTTTTAAAATGATCAAATTAAGTAAACTAATAATAAGTTTACTTAATATTAAAATTCATCTGGGGGAACACCCCCGAAACGAGAAACAATTAGCTGATTTAGTCTCATAAGATATTGAAATATAAAACTGGAACTCTAATTAACAATCAAATTAATAACTACAACCACAATTACCATATCAATAGAGTATGGCAGCATTCACTCTTGTACAACATTAAATAAACCAGCGTTAAAAGTGTTTGTTAAAGAGATAATAAAGCATAAACACAAATCAAACCATAACGTGAGTAATTAGCTATGTGAGAGTTTGAGTTATGTTACTGTACAGTTTCTGAGATATGCTGATAAGCGAGTAGGCCTACATGCTTAAAGCTATGAATGTTTCCTTGCAGGCAGAGTCACAATCAGTCTTGCCTTTGAGGGCGACACAGAGGGGCCCATAGTTACCATTAACAACACAGAGGGATGTCCTCCCACATAAGACATCAGGATGTTGGTGTCTGCATATTTCCCCTTCAAATTAATTACATGTCAATGTCAAACCACAGTGTGTAAGTCTCTGACAGCGAGTGACCAGGGGAGATCTACTGGCAGCAATTTAATTATTAGCAGTGATTGTGTTTTGTACTTTCAATATTTGTTGCGCCCTGCAAGCACTGAGCACTGATTCTACAGAGAAAGGCAAGTTTAGGTCATCAAGATATTGCTGTGGTCAGTAGAGACTACAAGAGACTCATGCCTGGAAAACCTTTATCAACAGTATTTATTCATCTTCAAACTCATCTGTGTTCCTTGGCTTGATCTTACAGCTTTACATGTTTTCACACTTAATGTCCATGTCTCATTAGGTCACATTTTCCTACCTAATACTGTTTTGAAAAGTGCAGATTATATACAAACATGTGATCAATTACAGGACAAAGTTAGAAATGATTGTGTAAATGAATGCAGATGTTTCCATAAAGGGAACAAGGGGTCACTGTGTGAGTATAACAATGATCTGAATCAAGTGCCATCATTCACAGTACCATATGCCAACCAATCTAAACGTTAATAGGAGACTTTGAAAAGACATGTTCACACTAACCAACACCATCGACAGACCCCCAAATTAGGGAATATCTTGTAATAGAGGGTCTTAACATCCTGGGATCCAGAATTCAAATTCTAGCATGTCTCATGAACCTAAGCTCATGAAAGTATGATTGGACCCAAATCTATCACTTCACAGCTGGGGAGGGATCTTGCAGAGATTGACAGGCACACTGCACATGTGAAGGGAGAAGAATTGTGTAGTTGTCACTATAAGCAGATACAGTACCAGTGTGAGTCACTATAGGAGTCCCCCAAAAGACCCTGAAATAAATATATAAAAATCCAGCACAAATCAGAAGAAGAATAGTGAATGTTGTTCCACAGCATGTAAAATCAATGCAAAGGAGCACTGAAGCTCTTCTGTCACCCAACAACTCACTATGTGCTCGCTATGACAGCTATAAAGTTTCTCTTATATTGTATTAATGTACTTCATGTACATTAATACATGTACACACAATAATCAATATATTGTTAGTATTTCAAAATAAGGAGGACCTGAAACAGCAAATCTGACAGGGTGGACATTAAATATAAAGTAGGTGTGATACAACAGAAGGATTGAAGTAGCTGTGGGGTACTTGTCATCATGGTAAGATGAGTATTTATTGTAATACCATATTTTTTAGTTTACAAAATGTAAGACTTCCTAACGTTAGGATGTTTTATACATGTATTTAGAGTGGTTCTTAATTGTCATGTCAATGTGTTTCTGCAACCCAGTTTCAAGGTATGAATGTGGGCCTTTTAATGTGGAATCTCTCTAAATGTTCACAGTAAAATGGTAGATTTTGAGTCTGCATGTAGTCATAGATGTGCTGATTTCAGTCATATCAGTCACTGTCAGAATGTCAAGGTACAGATGTGAGACTTCTACTCTGAAATTTCTCTCAATGTCTGCAGTAAAAAAAGGGGTTTGAGTTTGTATGTAGTGGTAATCCTCTGTGGGTTTGATGCCTTTCACGTTACACATTGTCATTCGTTCCGTTGTTAATATAAAAATATTGATCACTGCAGCTTTAAAGGTCCTTCTACAGCTAAACAATTGCTGTATGTGTGTTTAAGCCAAAAATATGAAACAAACAAATAACAAAAGCCAGTAAAGGACCATAGTGTCCCGGGAAAGTGAACATAACTTTAATAACCTTTGCAGCAGCTCTATTTTGGTGCCAAGTTTTAAAGGATTACATTACACGTCTTAACCTAATTACAGTACGATGAATAACATATACTTTAAATTAGACATTTTTCAAATATATGGCTATGTTTTGCGTATCTGAATATATTTCCCATCCTTCCAGTTAACCACTGTTTTTAGTAAATTTGCAAAAACTGTAAAGTGATTGAAATCCATCACGCTGACCGCTGTGTCTGCTTTTACCAACTTTAGAGTTACATTATTGTCACATGGTGACAATCTGTAAGGACAGACTGGTTTGAAAAGTCTGCACTGTCTTACCATGCAACAATAAAATTCACACAGTCACTGTGTGAATTTCTTTTATTTTTTATGGTAATTAATGTAAATCAAAGGCTGTCTGAAAGGTTGGACAATACGACGAGCTTTGAGAGACACTGTACGTTTATGGTACGTTTATATGTATTTAGGAGACGTCACAGCATGGTCCACAAAAAACTTAAATTCCACAGACATCTTTTTTTTCTAATATATTGCAGTTTTATATATAACAACCTAAGTCACCTTTAGAACAAAGGCACCTACCACTAACCCTGTAAACGCCCACATGGCCTAAATCATGACCTGAGTTTTAATTCATTGTCTTTGTGTGTGTGTGTAATGTTACAGCAGCAGAGATTCCAACAGTGAGTCCAACTGTAACTATCCTCCCGTCTGATGATCCTCTGCACTCCCCAGGTCTCTGTCTCCATCTGCAGGAGTGTGACAGCCCGTGTTTCACTCATTCATCTACAAATGTACACAACAGCTGCATTCAAGTCACGACAAAATGATGACATGTTGTCACATGATGACTAATGAAAGTAGTAATGAAAGGTCTGGGCTTTATGTAATGTTTATTGTTTAATCATGATCACTCATTTATTTATTTATTTCCTTCCTGTGTCACTATTGGGCCACAATAACATGGCTGTGTTACTCTAATATAATGATGAATATACGAGTATACGAATATACGATGAATATAAGAGGCACAAACTGTGGTTAAGAAGGCAGATTATTATTATTTCTATTATTTTATTATTATTATGGTATTATTTTTTAGTAGTAGTAGTACTTCTGTCAATAAAATGTATTAGACACTAGATATATGCCGTTGTTACATTAATGCAAAAATCACAATAGATGCCTTCATTGCAGAATTATTGTAGTATTTGTATTTTTCATTAGTTTTTATTTTTTTTATTTTGTTTTGAATTTTTAGAGAGAGTTTGCTCATTTCAGTTTAGTTTTTATTGTTTAAAATGTTTTATTTATTATAATCCCCAAACAAGGCTCAACTGATGGGTACATTATGCTTCAATGTTAAACAAAATGCACAGTTTAACAAATTACTATTAATATTCTAATCATGAATTACGTATTTTTAACCATTTCAATTTATCAATATCTGGAAGAGTCCTTCAAATAGATATTTTAAAATAAAATTAAATCAGCATGCTTTTCCATATTGTAGCTACTGCAGTTTACTTTTATTTAGCATTTCCTCACACTAACAAAGCCAACTTTCATTTCATATCAAACCTAAAAAAAGATGACAACACATCTGTAATCTGCTCCGGTGATTTCTACAGGTTTTAATTGGTTATGACTACATTTTAGACAATGTATTATTGTAGAAACAGAACAAGAATGCAAAAGTTTTTTACTGATAGCTCCATCTCTCTCCTTACGAAGGCGGCTGTGGTCTTGAGGAACCACTTGTTGTTGCTGTATCTGCCACCAGGGGCCGCTGTTGGAGCAAAGCAGCAGTGCTGCAGCTTAAAAAGACCCTGTGGCCCCATGTGTTGACAACCGGGCTTTTGATTACAGCCTTTGAATGTCAAATAAATCATGGAAAAATTGTTTTTAGACAAGAATATCTAAAATGTCTTATTTGCAAGGTAGTTTCTATGTGTAAATGTTAAATGGTGTGAGGCAGAAACTGTAAGTTTCACCAACACAAACTCTATTAACAGCCTCTCTACTGTAAGTGCCCATCGCTTTATTTGGCATCAAAGACTCCAGGGGCAGTTGGAAGTAATTAATTTGCAAGCGAGACAGAGAGAGAGAGAGAGAGAGAGAGAGAGAGGGAGAGAGGGAGAGAGAGGGAGAGAGAGAGACCAAAAGAGAGGGAGACAGAGAGAGGGGGAGACAGAGAGAGGGAGACAGAGAGGGGGAGAGAGAGAGAGACAAGTGGATGGAATGCACTCCTCCCTCACACTCCCACAACACACACACACACACACACACACACACAGTCCTGCTCCCCTCTGTGTTCGGCCTCTTTTTGAAGTTCCTCTTGCAGCTACGAAGTGAATGTGGAGGCAGCAGGAGAGAGGGCTGAGGAACGTGCTCTAAGTGTGTGTGTGTGTGTGTGACGGTGACATGTGAAAATATGGCGGCGTGCTGCTTATTTACTATTACCTGAGGATGGTCATATAACTGAAGGCCTGTGAGAGTCAGAGGCTGCATGGCTGTGTGTTATCATGAGGTCTGTTCTGTTAGATCAAAGCAGTCGTCTCCATGGTTCAAGAGAACCACCTGAAAAATGTCGAGCTGCTCTTTAACAACTCCATTCACTTAATTTCAAACCCACAGACAGACAGACAGATACAGTGCCTCCGATATGGCTGTGACTGACAGATCCGCCCATTTGTCTCCGGTGTAACCTCAAATACAAACCATCATATATTCCTATTACTTTCCCTCACTGTCCTTCTTCTTTTTCAACATATACTGGAGAGCTAAACTATATAACTACTGCACTTATTATCTTTGGATAATCTTCTGAGAATGCAAGAGGGGAAATGCATTAATCCAAATAAAATTAGTTTTCTTTGTCATAATGATTAAATATATCTCCTTTGTCTGTGTGTGCCTGTTCATCTGCTACTACTTATACTGAAATAATAAAATAAATCCACAATTTAATACAATTATGTGGAATAAAAGTAGCTGAACCACATCAAACAGTATATTTTTCATTAGCGTCAAAAGCTGGTGGTTACTGCTACCCTGCTACGCTAGTTAGCTTTTAGGAGCTTAGTCGGGGTTTGTTGTCCATCGTGACTGAATTCAGCTACTGACATATTCATGTGGAATAACAGACTCACAGATACGTTGGTTTAACCAAATAAATATTTTTCAATTGCAGCTACAGATAAATCCAGAAGTCTAGTTTTAGCTGATGCTAAGGCTAGCTGATGTAGCTGTCTTGCATTAGATGCTGCAGTTAGCCGTATCTCTGTGATAAAGAGCGCAGCATTAAGTTCAAGTTTAAGTGAGCCAGGTTGAAGTTTACACAGCTGATGTTACTGCAGTCGGAGCTTTCTTTGAATTTCTCAACACAGAGAACTCAAAAAAAGGTGATAAAACAGTTGTATATACATAAAATCTATATATCCAGACTTAGGTTTTTTTTTTCATATCCACAAAGAAAAGGCCATAAGGTCTCTATTAATACAGAATACTCCTCTTGAACCTCTTAAGTCATTAAAACGCTAAAACATTCTGAGGGTGTATCAAAGGCTGGGAGAGATTCAGTACATACTGTAATAAACTACTGAAACAAAACTGTGATGGTGTACTCTGAGAACAAACTGGATGACAATATGAGAAATAAAATGTCCAGTTGAGCATTTACAATTCAATAACTCCACATGTTTCAACACAATATAAGACACGTTTTTAGTACAACAATCTTTATTCACTTTTCACTACATCTTCACCAGCTGAATAAAAACAGCCTCTGCGGCACTCTCTCCTCCAACTGCAGTGAAACACAACCATCTTCTCAGCAATGAAATATTCAGTCATTTATCTCATTATTTTGACCGTTTTAAAACCTAGTCAAGTGCAGGCTTCTTCCACAACGGATTAGGTCCGCTGCGGTCACAAAGTTGAGCCGTTATCAAAGCGCAGCAAAGGTTTAAGTGCTCCACTCGGTCTGCAAGCAGCTTGTCAGACGTCTGTCGTGGTACGTCCTCCCATCAACACACAGCAGCAGTCTTATTTCTTACCTGCACAAGAGACAGCAATTAATCACTCTGCCAGTCAACATCAATACAAGTTAACAGTAAAAAAACATTTGCAGTCCTGCCAAACTTTCAAGCGATGGGTCGACATTTTGGGAAATACTTAAAGCATATCAATACACTGGATGTGTAAACAAACAAACCTGAGACGGCTGTTTAGCGGGTGCAACATGTGACGTGTAAACGTGGTCAACACAATGCTGATTGTCATGATGCAGAAAGATACAGAGCTTTAATGAGCCAGAAGGTCACCAGATGGTTGAAGACTGTAGGTGTATCTCAATTCCTCCAGGACGCATCACAATACTCGCCCATGTCACATCTAATATTAAACTACTGGACATCTTCAACAGTCTTTGATGGTGTGTGTGTGTGTGTGTGTTTAAGTGTCCTCTGTACTGTAGCGTTCCACACATGGAGTCTATAACTCCCGATTCAGCCCCCCTCCCCTGTCAGTCTTTTCCTTTTAACTTTCCTCATGAAAGAGAAAGCAGCCACAACTTTCTTAAAAAGACGCACATGGACACACACGGAGATCAGCCAGAAATAAAACACGCACAAAAACACAAACAAGACAGAAAGAGAGAGAAAAGGGAGCATTATCCTAAACAAAAACATCGATACAGTGACCACCAGAAACACCACAATAGAACAACAGAAAAGCGCCGTGCCTGGACAGACCACAGGGGCTCGAGCTGTGTGATGTGGCCCAGCAGCAGGCTCTCTGCCTGGCCCCTGAGTGTCTGTAGTGGTCTCCTGGGCTGGAGGGGGTGACCATCCTGAACTAATTGGTTCATCCTAACATGCATCCTTATCTTCTGAGTCATGAGGAATTCTGCTTTCAAAAGGGCCATTTCCTATTGACTGTGGTTTTGGGATTTGTGTGTGTGTGTGTGTTTACCACCGTTCTTTCTCTACAAAGAAAAAAAAAAAAGGAAGTGATCTCTGAGGATGATGGCTGAAGGGGTGAAATGTTTGTTTCTGTGTTGGGTGTGTAAGGGTGCTTTCAAATCCATCTCTGGTGTGTTTGCCTGTTTGGATCTGTTTGTTTTGGGTCTTTAGTAGATACATGTTTCAATTACCTATTAAAGAAATCTGCTGATCATGAACTGTCAATGAAGTGATCCTATAAGCTGCTGTATTGGCTTGAATATAATACTTTTTTACCCCTGGAAACTTTGTTTGTAAAAGTGGGTTTTGGTTATTATATTTGAGGACTAAATTACATATTCACAACATCACATATTCTTTTTGAATGTAGAGCATTCCTACTGAGAGTGTTTCATTGTTTCTAGCCTACATTTTTGCTAAGCTAGCAAGTTTCCTTAAGCCAGTTTATAGTGTATCTGTTGCAGTTAGTTTATGAAGCCCAGTTTGACTTTGAGGAGTTTCTGATGCTTTGGTTATTGCTGTCTAATTATCAATCATTTTACAACCATGGTAACACGTAGGTGCATGTGAACTGCATTCAATCTTATTAGTAGTAGACGACCCGCTCTACATCCTGAGTCAGAGCTGACTCATCATTTATGACATACGGGGTTCACTTGCACTCTCAACTAATGTCAATAACACAACGAGCTCTTTGTGACACCAGAGATGATAAATATATACAAAGTGCAGTGAAGGGCCACATGACTTGCTGTCAGTCACCACATGGGCCCTCTAAATGAGTATGTGAGTGTTTTAGTGCGTGCATGTGCTCTACATCCTGTCCCATCCTCACCTGGAAGCTTGAGCCACTTGGGCACCTTTCCCAGATCAGACCTGGTGGGTTTAGCAGCCTGGGTGTGTGCAGAGGGGTCTTCCTCATCCTCCGTGGACTCGCTGGTGTCCAGACTCGGCTCTGGAGGAGAAAGCGGCTCCTCGGAGCCCGTGGGCGTCAGCGGGGACCGGAGCATGGAGCTGAGATGGGATAAGAGAAAAAAAGATGCTTTGAAGAAAGCAGCTTGTTGATTTTTTGTTTCTTGAGAAATAACTATTCAAACTATTTAAAGCAGCATTTTACACGAGGATTTGAGCCAGAAGTTAAACAACTGAGTGAGATCAAGATCCATAACAGAGGAGAAGGGTGACCTTGTTAAAGAAGCAGAAAGGACAACAGGTGGGGGTCACTTTTGGTAAACAGGCTCTATCTTTAGAAGGACTGGAAAATGGTTGTGTGTGTGTGTGTGTGTTTATGTGTGTGCGTGTGCATGTGTGGAGGAAATGAGGGCGCATGGGGGCACCTGCTGTTTAGGCAGAACCTCAAAGGGATTCCAATGATGACAGCTTTGTGACAGGAAAATAGGCTGGTTGCCGCGGGATACAACTGCATATACACACCCAAATGCACGCATGGCCAGGCACACATTAAAACAAACACACACACACACGTACACATACAGTACCTTGCAATGGACTCATTTGCTTGCAAGGCCGAGACAGACGATTCAAGCAGTTCTCTCTTTATGTAAAAATCTGTGGAGGAAACACACACACACACACACACACACACACACACAGTGTCACACAATGTAAACTATTGTTTTGTTTTATTACATTCCTCAGTAATACA